TCCGGCCCATAAGCTAACTGCGTACAAAATTTCATGCAAATCCATTCAGTCGTTTCCGCGTGATTATTTCCCAAACATCCAAACATACAAACTTTCACATTTATAATATTAGTAAGATTAGTAAGATAAAGTAAGATAATCTCAGTCAAAGATCGTTAGCTGTCAAATTGGTTGTTATTCTCGCAACTCGAGGAAAAGTCACTTTTTTCTGCTACACATATTATGCTCTTTAAATATATTTTAACTTAGTATTTTATTAAAAATACCTTTACAAACCTCTTTTCCTTGCTAGCGTAAATTTTTGTTTACTTTTAAATTTGACATTCCCCCTGTTCTTCGCAAGTATAATCGATAAAACTAGGTTGTTTACTTTTGAGTTTGGCATTCCTCCTGTTCTTCGCAAGTATAATCGATTAACCTAGGTTGAACACCAAAAAGGTATCGATTTAATCTGAGATATTTTTAGTTATAATGTTCTAGGCTAATCTCTTTTTCTAATTACAGATTAGGGAGTTAAGCACGAAAATGAGGATAATATTTTTATATGTAAACCTATTATTAGGCGATTCAGTTACATACATATACATGTAGGTTAGGTTAGAAATTAAACATTAATTTAAATTAATTTTATTCACTATGCTGACTTAATTTTTTATTAATTTTCATTTTTAATTCTTTTAATACATGAAATTATCGGTATGATAGATAAAATATGACACTTGTATATACTTGTGACTCAAAGACGTTAAAATATCTTGAAAACACCGCATCAATTACTGTTTTTGAGCTTGTAGTTTGAGCATTTATATTTGTATATATTCCTAAATTCAGTTTTTCTTTTAGGAATATGATCTGTGGTTCTGCTTCAGCTTTCGCTAGGTTTACGTTAAAGTCATTAATACTTGTAACATACCATCTTTTGTTTGCAAAATGAAAAGCTAAATCCATTTGTTTGGTATTTCCTCTTACTCTCGTCTTCTCTTTGTGTAATCTTGTATTAGCTCTGATCCAGTACTCAATGAACTTACAGGTTTTTACACGAATTTGCAGGATGTTACAGGAAAAATTATCCCGTACTCCAAAATCATGTAAATGAGAGCGATTTTTGGAGAGTTGTGAATTGAATGAAGTTGCAAGATTTTACCCGGTGTTTTTTGTTTCCGTACTTTTTACTCACTTTTTACTCTCACTTCAGAGAGTCATTTTGCTGTTTGACATTTTTGCAGGGCTTTACATGAAAAGTATTAGAAAAGTAGTATCAGAGTTATTATATCATCCATACATATGTATATATACATACAGTGGCGTAGCCAGGGGGGGATATGGGGGGATAGATCCGCCCCCCTTCGTCATTGAACTACGCTACTTTTGAATTAATAACACAATACTATTTTATCCTTCTGATTTAAATTTTTTTTATTTCAGACGGATGACAAATTATCTTTTAATGAATATATGTATGAGTAGTCCACTTGCAAACAGCGTTATGTGATTTTATAAAAGTAAACCATAAATTAAAAAAAAACGTCTACAAGAACAAGTAACATCCGAACTGTATCTTTTTTTATTACCTGAAAATTTGGATAAATAAGAGCCTAATACCATTAAAAAAATAAAATTGCAGTATGGTAGATTTGTAAATTTTATATTTAAACATTTAATATTGCAAGTTTTGAAACAGAAGAGGAGACATTTGAAAGTGTATAAATAAGTATTATAGCGACTTTTGCAAGATTAGTTAAAATTTCATGCTTTTTTTTCAGAATATACAAACATTTTTCATTCTGCTGTTAGTGGACATGAAACCCACCAAAAACTAAAAATCTAAAAAAAAAATTACATAGCACACTTTGCAAGTAGACTACTCAATTGTTGAATATGCTATCTTATTTGTCCCTTCTTGTTATACAATTAAGGAGCGGCTGAATGGTTTACCGATGTTAGCGGTACATAATGATGTGCCGATTACAACACAATAAGTAATTGAAAAATTGTGTGTTAAGCAACGAAGATTAAAAATCGCTTTATAATTAATAAGATTTTGTAGACTTGTACATAAATAAATGTAAATAGATACGCGTAAATATATAAATATGCAGATATATTCAATGTGTAAAAACTGAACTCTGTACAAAACAAAACTGGACTACACACTAATTAATTAAAATGGTGTAGTAATTTAATTTTTTAAATTTAAATAAAGCATGAATTCCCCATGGAATAACCGAGTAGACAAAAAATATATAACGGTAGAAATGGCACATACATACATATATGAAAGAATGCCCACATCAAAATCGTAGATCTTCGCTTAGAAAAGAGATAATGGAATGCAGCATTTAACCCTTTAATGCAGTCTGTCATATATGAAACGCTTTTAACCCTTTCAAGGCAGAGGAGAAAGGTTCTCAATATGCTTTTGAACGTGCTTTTTCTCATGTTGACGTAGATATTAATCGTAGAAAATTGTTCCATAGTAAGATAATAATAAAAAAAAAATTAATAAAAAGAATAAAATAAAATAATAAAAAATATTAAAAATAAAAATAAAAATAAATAAAAATAAATAAAAAGTACGTTGAAAACATATTGAAAACCATTTTGCCTCTGCCTTGAAAGGGTTAAAAAGCGTACCACCAGTATAACCATTATTGTTATATAAATTTTTTTGTGAAAGCTGTTAGTTTACGAGTTATTAGAGTTTAAATGTAGCTTTTCTTTTTCCAATCTGGCCACTCGGGTACAGCATCCAATGTCCCAAGAATCGAGTCTTAAGATAAAATAAAGAGAAATCTTTCAGAAACAGTGCTAATGGTGTATTAGATATAGTGTTTTCTAGTGGAATGGGAGCCAAAATCCAAAATTAAAAAAAAAGTGACATTTTGAACGGTATTTTGAGGGTTAAGTTATTGTTGTTATAACTTCTCTATATTATATGATCATTTATCTTCACGATAAAAAGATTTTCATTCCATTATCTCTTTTCTAAGCGAAGATCTACGATTTTGAAAAAAAACTCGTGTTTTGCCTATAGTGCGACGCCTCTAGCCATTGTGTATCACAACTTTAAGTTATCGATGCAAATTTTTTTTTAATCCCCCCCCCCCCCCATGCCTAAATGCATGCATCCATTTACAACAGCAAGTAAACCCTAATGAAACTAAAAATTTTCTGCTGCAATACACACTAGGTATATGCTTCGAGCCTGATGGTACAATCACTTGATGGAGCTAGCAACCTGCAGCCGGATTTCAACATTCGCCATGGCTAATTTTGATCGCTAAAAATCTCAAATAGAATAGTGCGCCTAACAACATGCAACATTTAGTTACATGCCCTCATGCTGTCAGCTTGGGCTAATTACACATTGCATCTGTTACTTTTCCATGTTGCGCATTTTTAGGTCCCACTGATTTTTATTTAGAGAATTTTTACGATGGAAATTTAGCGCAGCGATTGCCAGAATCCCACTGCTGGTGTCATATATTTCCCCGTTTATACAAAAATATTCGCTTATTTTCCATTGTTTTTTTTATAACATTACTTATTGAATATTTTTGCGTGTATACTTTTATATGTATATGTAAGTAAAAATTTTTAACTACCATTTTTAACCACAAATACTCTTTTTTAGCTCTTTTTAACCCTTTGTTTAAAGGAATTTGGCTAAAACGAAACGATTCGCGGCAACACTGGCTATAAGCGCGAGATTATACCAAGGCGAATACATATAAGGTGGTATCGATTGAACAAATACAACAATTACTTGTATTTTGTTTTTGCTTTTAGCGGGCCATTGTCAAATTTCAGCTATTCTTCCCGAATGAAAAAGGGCGACAGAAAATGCAAACACTCTCACGTTTTCACTCACTCACTAACGAAATTCAAAATTTTGACAATCAAACGCTACTCACAGCTGATGAAACAACACCACCTTATATAAATTCGCCTTGGATTATACTTAGGAATGTTCGATATCGTATGGATTATTCTGAATGCCGATATTTCATGGCACGATAATCGATTTTTTGAATCGATATTCCAAGGCCGATATATCGAAGACAACGATACTTCACCCGCAATATCGATATTTAAGTTTATTTTTCATCATCCTTTCGGGGCCTCCCACAGACCCCTAGGGAACCGTTTGAAAAAGGGGGGAAAACGAAATTTTCTTAGGCAAACTGAGCAGTTTGAAGTGGAATATGACCCAACTAACAGAAACTGTGGCATTTTTTAATAAAAGAAATTATGCCAAATTAGATATCGGGCGATTTTGACGAAGAATAAAAAAGTTAATTGAAAATAGAAAAAACAAGTTTTTATAAAAAAAATGTTCTTTATAACAAATGTATTTTTGCGTAGAATTCCTTTCTGCGTAGGCGGCCTTCGGCCGCACTTAGGGATTATAACCCTCAGGCAGTAGAATTCTCCTTTCTGTTTTGCGAAGAAAAGGAGCTGAACACATTTTACTGGATTATATCCTATCTTCTTTTGCCTCTCATTCTTTTGCATATTTTGGAGTTTGACAGGTGAACTCCGCCATTTAATTTGCATATGCAACCAAAGTCAGACGCGTGATTTTGAAGGTGTTTTTATTTAATGAAAGTTATAACTAATCGAGTAAAGTGTAAAGTGAAGGGGAAATGTACGCTAATTTCCGAATTTTACAAAAAAGGGCATATTTCAAACCCGATTTGTAAATAAATTAGTGATCAAAACTTACAAAAGTGGGTGTTTAAATAATGTGCAGACAATTGACTACAAGCGTGTGCAAATTTTTTTTTGGATCGGGTCACCCCTTTGGACGCAATACCTCGAAATAGACCGGCAACGTACTAAAGAGTACGCTTCTATTTAATTGGGGTAAGATTTCCAACATCGATATTTCCGATATCGATATTGTTCTGCCCGATATACCGCCATATCGATTTTATATGCAATGAATTAAATCGATTCATGATATCGATACTTTCTTAAATATCGAACAATTCTAATTATACTTCAATTGTGAATGACAAAGGCAAATCGAAAGAACCTGCATGGTAGATTGCTAAAGTACACAGCTTCGTACATTTTGTTATTGCATTCGATAAAGGATAAGAAAATTGCAACTATTTGAACCGGAGATATTTGTGTAAGCTGTAGATGCGAAAGTTTTTAATTGTGCCTAGTTCTCTTGCGTAGGAACAGGAGCTATGGTAATCGAAGAAGGCGATATTGGCACAGAATCTAGTGAAGATGATTTATTGGTGAAGGGGGTTTCAGGTGCAGGAAACGGAAGAGCATCAGCCGCCATAGTAGGAAGGTATGAAAATATTCAATTTGATAAAAATCGTATAGTTTCCTTTTTTATTAATTCGTAGTTCCTAAATTAACCTTATAAAATGGTTACTGCTGATAACGGCATTCCGTAATTTAGTCTTTGATAACGATGTGCTATAACTTCAATTTTGTATTATTACCATTACTCATCACATATATACATATATGTTATTAGACCGAATACTTCACCTGGCTATTGGCTATGCATGCTGCTTCCACTTGCTCTCGCTTCTAATCTTGTGCACAAGGTCAGATGCACGGAGAATATTTCAACACATGGCATGCTTACAATTGCAGCGGTTGGCATGTGCGTAGAGAGTCTATGCTTCTTTCTCTATATCTTTTGCAAAGCTGGTTTGCTACTTAAGCTATTGATTGCATTTGTACCTGGTTTAATTACGACATTATTATACAAAGCGCTACTGCAACAGCCATGGAGCTACGGATTATTCTGGGGATTTGTCACTACATTCTCTTATCAAAACTCATATGTACGGGTTATGCGTGCCTGTCCTGCTTGTTTCAGTTTTGGTGAGGCAGCTGTGCTAGTACAAGGACTGATGCTGTTTATTTTAAATGTGATTCTCAAACTGCCCAACACTTTGTTCTCAAATCAAATTAGGAGTGATTTTGATGATCTTAATGTTATCATGATGGTTTGTAATTTGGCTACGAAACACTATACAGTATGAACTGAAAATTTACTATTAAATTGCAGTTCGCACTATTTTATTTGTTTGCTGTTTGCTGTCTACTAGCTGCTGCCAATATCCTGCGTACCACCGTTTGTTTTTATCCTCTAATATTTTTATTTGCCATCACTGTGACATGCTCACCAATTACAAATCCGATTCCTCTAATTACCTTATTGAACTTCATATTGAAAGACAAAGCTAGGGTAAGAAAAGTATATGGTTATAAGCATGATTGAATCATGGTTAATAAGCGCATCACCGTATACATAAATATATAAAACTATTTGTTCACTTTCAGCTTAACATGATTTATTTCTACATAGCGCTGGTAGTGTTGACTTTTTTAGCCGTGTGGTGGGAAACAAGCCAGGAAGGAAAAGCAACCACAAGAGTACGAAAGATATTCCATTTGCTAATAGTGCTGGTGTACATACCTGGAGTAGTTTATCAATGCACCTTTCTTTATATCGCATCTGGTGTAGCGTTTGCAATTTTCACTATTTTGGAATTAATCAGAGTTTTTAATATACCTCCGTGGTCGATAACATTGTGCAGAGCTTTTACATCATTTTCGGATGAGAAAGATGCTGGCGTACTCGCCCTCACACCATTTTGTTTACTTATTGGTTGCTCTTTGCCCATGTGGATAAGTACATGCCCCTGTGGTGCAAGTGATGACCCCCGAATACTTCCACTTTTGTCTGGTGTTCTCTCGATTGGAATTGGTGACACAGCCGCCAGCTGGGTCGGCTCAAAGTTTGGCCGCATTAGATGGCCTAGTAAGTTTCATTTATGGTTTACGAATATTAGTTTTATTATTTAATACCTATGTATGTACTTACTTCGATAATGAACTTTTTACAGACTCGGATAAATCGCTGGAAGGTACATTGGCGTTTATAGTCACTACGTTGTTAGCTATATTGTTACTAAACCTTTTTAGTCTCATCAGTATGTCAGCGTTGAAGTGGTTTACCGCTGGAATTGCAACATTGGCAACTGCTTTGATTGAAGCCCAAACAGATCAAATAGACAATTTAACTTTACCCATAATATTTTATACAATTGTAAATACAATTTGAGACCAATAACAGTAAAATAAGTGCTTGATTAACGTAGAACCTTAAGTGCAATTTCGTTCTTATACAATTAGTTACATATGCTTGATATTCACGGAATAAACACTTTATTAACTAAGAAACTATAATTCAATATGAATTCAAAACGAGTGACATCGTCGCTGAAATGCAAAGAAAACCGTAACTAACAAAAATTCTTTATTGCATACAACGATGTAGGACTTATAATTCGATTAAAAGCATCATAATCAATAAAAAGTGAATTTGGGAATTTTAGTTAGTTACGGTTTTTTGTAGATACTTCAGCGAAGATGCGAGATGGGGCCTTTCTAGATGTATGTTTTAATTTAATAGCAGACATGTAGGTAGTGCAATGAATTGGAAACGCAACTTTATAAATAGTAAAACTTTCAGCTATTCCAATACACGATTACTTTCTTAATTCCTTGAAGTAATTTCAAATGTAATTGTTTTTTTTTTTTAATTCCATTACAAGGAATTTTAAATTGTAATTGGAATAAATTACGTGCTAGTAATGAAATTTTTTTTCCAATTCCTTTGAATGAAATTGAAAATGTAATTGATTTTTTTTTTCAATCCCATTACCTGGAACTGCAAGAGTACTTTAGTTTTTTCAATTACTCAAATGAATTGTAAAAGTAATCGAGAAACTGAAAGTTCATTCACGAATGTACAATGTGGAATTTTTGTTGTGGTCAAAGATTAAAATCGAAAGCACACATTGGACATCTTCTATGTATATCTTATATATATAAAAATGTTGTGTTCGTATGACACGGTCATCAAAACTCGAGAGCGGCTGAACCGATTTGAATAATTTTTTTTATATTATTCGGTAATATACCAAAACCAATGATATCACAAACATTTGGAGGATTGCCACCTATTTTAAAATTTTGTAACTCAATTATATTGATAAAATTAATGAGTTATTACAATATGGGTATGAAGTTAAAGAGGTTTAAGAAAGATAACTATTGGAAGTATTTTTGACGAGGGTTGCCACCTATTTGAAAATTTTAACTCAGTCAAATTGATAAAATAAAAGAAATATTGCCATGTGGGTGTCAAACTAAAGAAATTTAAGAAGGCTTACTACCGAAAATATGTTTAAGGAGGGTTGCCATCTGTTTGAAAATTTAACTAAAATAATACAATATGGGTATCAAATTAAAGAGGTTTAAGAAAGATAACTGTTGGAAATATTTTTGAGGGGGCTGCCTATTTGGAAATTGTAACTCAGTTAAATTGATAAAATAAATGAAATGTTGGCATATGGGTGTCAATCTAAAGAGTTTTAAAAAGGCTAACAGTCTACCATGAACACTTCCAGAGATATGCAATATGAAAAGTTCGGTTTATATGGGAGGTGCCATGCCCCATTCTCCAACCAGGCAAATTTTTCTCCATGAGTATGGAATTGATCTTATATATGTATATATTCCCATACCCAGTTCTAGTCCTCTACCACAAATATATGCAGTTTGAAAAATTCGGTTTGTATGGGAGAACAGAACAAAACGGCTTTCAAAATATATATTAGTATAGACTAGCCAATATCTGCTTGTTTTGCGGCTTAAAATACTACTAACGATGACAATCGATGGGTAAATAAACAAGTTTGCAAGGGTTGAGTGAAAGTGCAATAATTTTTTGTATGAAATACTAGCAGCAAGGCGTATTTAACAAGGTGGTGTTGGCCGTATATAAGTAAAAAATTACACTAACAAATTATACGCTGATGTCCGTACTGTCATTGGTATGAGTTACAACAAACACATCATTTTGACGTAATGGCCTCCACGGCGAAAAACTCAGCTGTCGCCCCAACACCACCTTGTTTAATACACCTTGACTAGCAGGAAATAATGTTACTCATACGCCATATCGTACATGACCGTATGACCATGTTAAAGTTTGAATTTTTTTCATTCGCAATGAAAACATAAAATGAAACTAACTTGACTAAATGACCTTATCTAAAAAAAACGGTATACAGATACTACTTATATACTACTTAAAATTAATTTTACGTCTCGGCGTTTTTTTGTGTAACTTTAGCGTCGTTACAGTGTTATCATCAAAATTTAGCCACAGCAATGCAATTTGTTTATAAAACTCTTAGGAGGTAGGATCTCCAGTCCGGCAGGGCTCGTAATTCAAGCGGGCTCTCTCCTCATTTGTAACGCAGGATACCAGTTAAGAGTACTTCAAAGGCCCCAGAAGGCACGCCATTTTGGGGAGAATTAAGGGTACCACAATATACACAATTAAGTCAGTGCCTATAGATACGCAGGGATTAGTCCAAGAGAACAGCAGTGCCCAAGGCAGCAACAGTCCGGGCGGGTTATGCCTGCTTCGCCATTTATGGGTCTCATCTGCCGCGAACCGTTACCCTATAAACTGAACAGCTACAGTCTAAGTTATTCAGTTTTCTTAAAGTCCAATTAGTAATACTACTTAGGTATAAGTTATTTATTCAAAGCAGTTAGCAACCAAGAAACTTAACAAAGCTATTGCAATTCAACAGTAAAAACTTTTTTTTTATAAATTTTTTGATTACTTTTTCAATTACTTTGAGGAATGGAATTCGAAAAAAATCAATTACATTTTCAATTCCTTTCAAAGGAATTGGAAAAAAATTACATTACCAGCACGTAATTTATTCCAATAACATTATGAAATTCCCTGTAATGGAATTAGAGAAAAAACAATTCCATTTGAAATTACTTCAAGGAATTGAAAAAGTAATCGATTCCTTTGCTGTTAACTGAATCAATTGCATCTTAATCACAATAACTGAGGAATGTAATTGTAATTGTAATGTAATTGCATTTACCCAGCTCTGGTTCTAAGCGAAGTTTTGTGCGACTCTGCCTCAAGCGTTTGAAGAGCAATATTTTGACAATCAGTTGCTCATCATTGCGCTATGGTCAGGAGTTCATTTTTTTGGCATAAATTCAAATTTAACTAATTGTAAAAAATGGGGTACGCAGTATTAATGGAGACATTTTAGGGCCAGTTTTTCAGTGCCAGTTTAAACTTAGATTAAGTAAACTGAGTTTAAATTGAACAGCTGGCTGACATTTGATTGGCTGATCTTAGTTTAAATCAGTCAGATCGGGCGTTTAAACCACGGCCGAGCACTGAAAAACTGGCCCGCAGTGGCCCAAAATATGCAAAAAATAAACTTGATAAAAAGGTAATAAATTTACAATGAAACACAATAAGACAGGTTTCTACTTCTGAACTGAATAAATATTTTTTTTTGGTGAAATATCTGTATGTGCGTTTTTTCGTGTAATAACTTCCCACCAAACAATTTGTGTTGCCGGCAATAAGAAAACGTGTCGCCCTCGGAAACAAATTTATTGCCGGTAATATTGCCATCGAATCGATTTCTTATTACCGGTCGCTCTAAAACGTCCGCCGAAGGCAACTCGCCTGGGCGAGTCGTTTTCTTATTGCCTGAATGAGTCTTTTTCTTATCGCTTCAGGCGATATTTGGAATAATTTTATTCTTTTTAATACTTCATTTATTTTTCTGTATACCAAATTGCAACTTACAATCGGAATTAATTCATTTTCTCGCTGTGAGGCTTCCTATTTTATCAATCTTGTCCTTGGGCATAATTTAGATGCTTTTGGCCAATACTATTGACGCCATATTCATAAGTTTTGGAATTTTTGAGAACTTTTTTATTCAAAATTGACATGAATGAAGTGATGTTGCCGATTTGTCACCACAGCAATAAATCGGTGAGTCGCCAATTTGTTGCCATTGACGATTGTTGCCTATTTCTCATGTTTTGCATGGTGGGTTTTTTATCGTAAAAATTTTGTATTTGCCTGAGTTTTGTGGAGTAAAAGATTTATGTATTGTCCCGTATTGTTCAAGATTTTTATCTTGCTCCTTAAAATCATGTGTGTGGGCTTTGCCACTTTTTTCCCTTTTAATAACGTTTGTAATTTTCAGCAACATTTAAATTCCAACACAGAAATAGAGTTTGGCTAGAGGGCGATCGTAAAACTACTGAAGCTTATTCACTCAAAATTGATATTACAAAGATTTTTAAGCAAAAAATAAGAATATTATAAATTTTTGGAAAATGGGCACCCACCAATTTCTCCCAAACTTGGCACAATTGATGGTCTTGGTAAAATAGCGGAAAACTTTAAAAATCGGACAATAACCACGCCCACATCCCATATAACAGTGATTTGAAGAAATACCAAATCTTCGATAAATCGGTAAATAGGCTGTATTCCAAAACGTCAAAATACAAAGCATCAGTCTCTTTTATTTCTAAACCTCAGTAGATTGTAGTGCCAAATGTGTGCAACTACGGTCAGATACTAGTTTTCTACTAGGTTGCGCAAGTTAGACTTCTTCTTTTAGTGTGGTTTAGAAATAAAAGAAACTGATGCTTTGTATTTTGACGTTTTGGAATGCACCCATACTGAAGCTACTTTTTTCGAAATTGAAGTTTGCAATAATTTTCTAGCAAGATATACGCTTAAATCAAATTTTGGAAAGTGGGCGTGACCCTGCCCACTTATCACCACATATCGTCGCCTGGGTAAAAGATTGTCGTATGTTAATTTCGGCAGGTTGTGGGAAATCGCGATTGAAGTTAGGAATGCAATTTCTCAAAAAGGCGAAAATAGATTTTCTACAAAGTCTCTGAAAATGTTACTAGTTCACAAAATTCTTAAATTATTTAATTTTTAATGTTTATTGTTAATTAGTTCTGAGTTTATGAAGGACTTTCTTTAGTAAAATTTTGTCGTAAGCGTCATTTGTCTACAATTCGGCAGCCACTTTGTATGAAGTACGACAAAATGTGATCAAAATTTCGTCCAAATTAACGTCACTTTTTACTCAATATCTCGGAAACTAAAGGAGATATCCACAAATGAAGAACGCCATTTTTAAGCTATTAACTAGTTTAATACGACTGCATCACTAACTAAATTTTTACTAAATTATCGAAAAAGTTTTAGTCAATATCTCGGAAACTATTAATATTTTTTTTTGGTGAAATATCTGTATGTGCGGTTTTTCGTGTAATAACTTTTTTATCGTAAAAATTTGGTATTT